TTGCCCAGAAAGTAAGAATTCAGATCGATTGGTCACAGTTGGTCGCTGAGCAAATGGAATGAGTGCAGACTATGAAGAAATTTTGGATGCTCCCAAGCTACAGAAATCCAAAACAAAGATACCTAAAGTTGTTAACTTTTGATAATGTCTACTTCACAAGATGCAGCTAGAGTTTCTAGGAGCCCTGTGTGATGTGGACATTGCCAAACACCATTTCCTGAAGTTTTGCCCATCAAGGAGTACTTCTACTGTTTGGAGAAGTTTAATGAGATTCTCTGAAACATGCTTAACAGGCAGAACTTAGGTATCAGAGACTATCTACCTCATGGTAGCAATCACCTTTTCTTAAAAAAGAATCACAAAAATTATGCATTAATGTGAACCACCCTAAACAAAGGGTGTGTTTGTATTTGGAGATAAACTTTTGTTATATTATTTTCTTCAAATTGCACATTTTATTATTTTACTATTATGATAGAAATTTATTTATAATTGTCACAAATTGCTATATTTTTAAAATACTGAATAAAATGTTACTAGTATTTGCTTTTTTTTTCTGAATATATAATTTTAAATGGGGTTAATGTCCATGTAATTAACAATCCCTTTCAAAGCAAGGTATTTTATGAATCCTAGCAAGGATAAACAAGGATTTAGTTAACTTTTGTTTTCATTTTGACATAAAGAATTACAAATTATTAAGTGTAAAATTAAAGGCCCCTCAATTTAAAACACACACACACACACACACACACACACACACACACACACAGAGGATGAGGTCTGAGGTGTGTATGTATGTTGGGCTAATGGAACACCCAGTGCTGTGGGACCAATGTAAGGTGTCTGGACATCATTCTAGGTGTGAGGGATTTATCCATAGAGTACAAATCTCATGGCAGATTCTGCATCTCATATCCTCAGTACTGAGTATGTTGTCTGGTGGTGGTGGTTGTTAAGTGCCATTGAGTTAGTTCAAGCTCATAGGGACCCTGTGTAGGGTTTCTAAGGAGAAGCTGATGGGCTTTAACTGCCAACCTTGACGTTAACTATACTACATTATTTATCCTACAGTAAATGAATAAAGGGCTAACTGACCCAATGGCACTTAACAACAAGAAATCCTGTTGTGGAAGGAGCTCTGGTAGCGTAGTGGTTTATGAGCAGGTTATGAGTTTGAAGGTCATTAGTTCAAACCTACCAGTCACTCTGCAGGAGAAAGATGAGGCTTTCTGTTCCCCAAAAGATTTACACCCTTGGAAGTCCTATGCAGGGTCACTATGATTCAGAACTAATTTGGTGGCACATAACCCTCGCCACCACCAGCCCTGGTGTGGTGCTGTAGGATGTACTTTGGACCATAAGGTCAGTTTGTCTCAAGGTCAGTAGTTCAAACCCACCAGCTGCTCCTCAGAGAAGCTATACAGGGTCACTATGAGTCAGAACGGACTCGATGGCGCTTAAGAACAACAACAATATGCAGGGCAAGGAGCCATGTTGGCACTACCAGATATAACTGCTAGATCGGCAGTTCAAACCCACCAGTCCCTCTGAGGGAGAAAGATGAGACTATCTGCTTCCATAAAGGTTTATTGTCTGTGAAACCCTAAACAGAACTGCTATGAGTCAGAACTGGCTCAATGACAATAGGTTTGGAGTTTTTTTGTTATATGTAGGCTGGAGTTCCTGGGTGGCTAAAATAGTGAAAGTACTTGGCTGCTAACTGAATGGTTTGAGGTTTAGAGTTTACCAAAGGTGCCTAGGAAGACAGGCCTGGTGATCTTGTTCTGAAAAAAGCAGCTACTGTAAATCAATGACACACATGGGATTCCCATGAGTCAGGACCAATTAGAAGACAGCTGTGCTTTTTGTTTGTTTTTATGTGAAAGCAGAGAATAGGTGCAGGCCTGGGACAGACATGGTCACATCCCTCCCACTCAGTCTTGTTGGGAAAGAGATAACCAGTGGTTACAAGGAAAAAAGATTGTTTTAATGAGGGAAAGGATGGAAAGAAATGATTTGAGATGAACAATTTGAAAAGCAGAGATGGTCTATTTGGCAGACAGGTGGACATCAGCTCCTACGTGGACAACCACTATGACTGAGGATCTCTGCTACCAGGAGCTGCAGGAAGTCCCAGAGCAAAGCTATCTATTGAAGTGAACATAACCCAGCTCTTCCCAAATGTGGGGCACTGATTTCATTTCATAAGGGAGAAATGAACACAGGGGTCAGCACAGGGCTGACCATTTGTGGAGGCAAGGGACTGCTTTGCTACTTGAACTTGTCCAACCACCCAAGGTAGCTTGGGAATTCTAGGGCTGGAGAACTACGATGCTTACATGAACTGAGGATGTAGGAGTTTGATCCAAGGCTGGGCTGGTCGCAGAGGGTTATGTGCTATAAAGTAAGCCCAGGGTCTGGGTTCAGGGTAGTTTGAGGGGCCAGTTTTAGACTGAAACTTGCAGAGGCACCTTCGCTCCTCACTGCATTTCTGTCTGGCGAGCGCTGGCTTGGAAAACTGCCCTCAATAACTTCAGCTGTATTTGTTGTTGCTGTTAAGTGCCGTCAAGTTGGTTCTCACTCGTAGAGACCCTGCGTATAGGGTTTCCGACGAGCAGCTGTAGGACCAGACTCGGAGGACTTCTGATGATACCTTCTCTGTACCACTAGCTTGCAAGTCATTATTCTCCCTATTTTCTTCCTACATGTTTGGCTGACCAAATACTGGTTTATCCTTTATGTAGTCCAAAAAGTGTATTTTGAACACATACTACAAACCAGGCACTGTGGTAAGCTCTGGTGATATACTAAATAAAATAAACATATTTCTATTCAATGGAGTTTACAAAGAGCATCAGTCAAGCAGATAAATATGATTAAATTTACATACATTTTCAATGTGATATAAAGAGCCAGCACAGGGACCTCCACAGTCTGGTGCTGAGAGGAGGCATTCAGAGGTGGTGCATTTAAACTGAGAGTGAAAAGATGAGAAGTACATTCCTGCCAAGAGCTCCCGCTGAGTCTCCTTACTGGTTAGTGTCCTCCAGGGCTTAGTCCCAGGCTCTCTCTACTTCTTACTCTACTGATCAACATCCATGGCTTTAGTTAGCAAACCAGCTACAAACATCCAGATGTCTTCCAACTGTTTTCTTCAGTCTGGACCTCTCCTTTTGGCTTCTTAACTGTATACTTACTGCTTCCTAAGCATCTTCATCTGGGTTCTTCATGCACCTCAAACTCATGCCCCAACATGACCAAACCAAAGCATATTATTATCTCTACTATCCGTGCCCTTTCCTGACAAAGCAAGACACAAATCAAAACAAACAACTGGTCCATTCACCATGCTTCCATTTTGGTGACTGGCCCCCTGTCCATCCTTTATGTAAACTCACTTCCTGCCTTCATCCTCTATTTCCAACCTTTCATCCACTTGTGCCAATTTTACCACCTTCTTTATGTTCATCTGCTTTTCATTATCTCAACTGGCACCACCTTAATCTGAGCAACAATTTGCCCACCTAGACTTTGGCAGTGTTTTTTTCAGCTGGTCTCTCCCAGTTACACTTGGCCTTTCTCCACACTACAGAAAGAGAAGTTGATTTGAAATGAAAATCTGATTGTCTCGTCCCCTTCCCCAACTATTTAAAATCTTTCATTCTCTTCTTGTAAGTCTTTGGATAAAGGTCAAAGTCTCTATCCGGGTCTACAAGACCCTGTGTGATCAGACCTCTGTCTTCCTCTTCAGTCGCTTGTCTCTCACATCTCTGTCCTCCAGCCACAGTGGATTTCTCTCTGTCCTCCATGAATTTAGAACGCATTTAAGCTTTCAAACCCCACTACCACTGCCACCCCTGGCTGAATACCATCTCTTCTGGATCTCAGCTCAAACGTCAAGGCTTGAAGTTTTTTTGGAACCATTCTAAACCAACATTCTCCTGCTACTATGCTCCTAATGTTAAGATATAGAAAAACAGATGGATATAGAAAAAGGTGTAAAATAGGCAAGATCTGCTGAAGGATTAGAAACAGAGTGAGGGAGGAGGTATGTGCACGTGGAGTAGGGGGTGGGAGTTCTTAGAAGTACAATATTTGATTAAAGTTTCTTTCCTCAACTAAACTTTAAGTTACATGAAAACTGCACTATACTTGCTCTTCCATCTCCTGGTTCTTCTATTTCTCCCCTACATGTCATTAACTCTAAGATATGGGGTTCCCCCTCCTTTTGACGCCATGCCTTTAGAGATCTAGAGAGATCTCTTTAGTTCAGAGGACTTCAAGGTCTGTACCCTCAACCCCAGTCTCTTGCCAAAGATGTAAGTAGGTATTTCCAACTAGACTAGTGATTTTACAACACTGTGACAGCAATCCTCAATTAGAACATTTTATGTAGCAACATAGCATATACACACACAAAAGTAATAAGCTTCATTTAAAAATACTGTCATTTTTTCCCTTGTCTTATTTATTTTTTATTTTTCATATCATTTCAAGATGCACTAGTGGGTCATGACTTGCAGTTTAAAACACACGGGATTACTGGGATGTATATTTCCCTTTAACCTCAAACATAGCACGTCTATTTACCAATCAAGCGTCCTTACTAAGCAACATGATCACTCTCTTAGTCATTCAGAAACAACAGGTTGGAATCATTTTGGACTGCGCTTTCTTATCCAACAATTGTTTAGGCCAATTAATTATTTTACTACAATGTATTGCCACCCCTTTTCTATCTTTTCTACCCTCACCTCTTTGGTTCAAGTTTTACAGTAACTTGTAATGCTACAGTAACTTAACTAGTTCCCAGCATCTAGAATTTTCAAATAGAGATGGTACATGTTTGAAATCACACACATATCTGTATAGAAGTCTAAATTTAGCTCTCCAGTTCCACTTTGACCATTGTAATTCAGGCTGCCTCGCATTTCTAAAATTCTTGTTACAATCCAGAGGCCAAACTCTGGCTTAATGGGAATGGAAGGCAGACTCACCCATGTCAGCCGTAACCATGGTGGACTGGTTTTCAGGGATGGAGACAGAGGTCTGGTCTTGATCCATGCTTTGAGAGTCCTCATTGACCTCGTGCTGGCTCTGACTGAGTTCTGACCGCAGTTCTGAGTACTCATCTTCCTCCCTGAGAAACAAGGAGAGTCAGTGAATGCCACCACTGAAAGGGGATGGAAGACAAATTCATAGAGTGAACATACTGAGGACAGGAAGGAGACATTCAGAGAAAGATCTCCCCCCAAGACACAGGGACCAAGATTTCTTTCAGGCCAAAAAGATGGCCCCACCTATGGACCTTTGGATCCTGCCACGTCAGGAGGGTTTAAGGTGGCTCTTAAAGATGTTATAAATGCAATACATCAGAGAAGCAGGTGAAATCAAAAGGCTGCTTCAGTATCCTCATACATGTCCACATACTGAACAAGATTCAACTTGCTGGAAAGTTTTTCCCCTTCAAAGATTTCCTAAAGAAATCACATTTCTTCACTCCTCAAATTGTGGGATAAAAAGAACTAGTAGGACTACTAGTATTAAGGCTATAGTGAGAAAAAATAAAAACAAAGATCGATGAACAGGAAGGAGTAGCACACCCCATCATCTGGAGGGTCCTACTGGTAGGCTTTCTTCTTGGATGAGTATGTACAGAGGTGCTGGGGCTGGAGCTACCAGAAAACCTGGACCTCATCAGTGTAAACCTCACTGGATCCTCTGAGTTGTATAGGGATCAGCAAGTCTAAGAAATACTACACTTGCTTTCTTCCCCCCCCAAAAAAGTGGGAGATGAAAAAGAGGAAGGAGTGAGAACAAAACTGGAAACAGTGAGAATGAGAATGCCACTCAAATGTCTAATTCTTTCAACTTGCTTTCACTGAAATACAGCCACATTCCTTTTTCATGCATACCTAACTTATCCTCAGCCTTTCGTGGATCCGTTGACAGCATTACGTATCTCAAAGCACTCGTACTTCCCCCCCTGCCCACAGCTCCACCACCACAAACACATGGGACATAGACATGGAAAGGGCAAAATCAACTCTCTTGGAAGTATTTATTTTGTAAGTGGGCCAGAAGAGAAAGCAGTCATGTGTTGGGGAGCCCACTGGTATTCGTTTAGCCTCAGGGGAGGATGTCTGTGAAGAAATCTAGAAGAGGAGAAATCATCTCAGCTTGGCATTCACTGTAAATTATCAACAACCACAGGGGCAGAAAGTCTACTGCCTTGGTTAGCGGGTAGACCAAGATGGTGGATGTTTGGGGATATAAATCTATAAATTAGAGAAAGGTGAAGAGCTCTTCAGAGTTTTTGGTTCTCCTAAGAAATTAACAGCCTCCTATGGGAATTATTCAGCTGAGTCCCTGATTTCTAGAGTATTTTTAATAAGAACCACTAGGAAGACTTTAAACCAATATAAAGCTGCCAGCTATGCAAAATATGAATTAGAATGGAAATGGTAATGGAAAAAGAATATATAGGTAATGTTCTATGAATAATTATTAGACATCTGCAAAAGCCAACAATAATTAGCTTTAGGAACAAAAACAATTAAAAAGTACTCTTTCTAAGAGTCACCTTTTTGGTAGAGGGTAATTGTTTTGTGCACTGACACATCCACTCTCCTTTCAATCAGCACTTAAAATTCTGATTTTACTTAACAAGAGATTTTGTATATGATGAATAAATTACCTTTGTTGCATAACCAACATAATCAGCTTCGGCTTGGCAGAGAATGTTTCACAGCCAAGAAAGCTAATGATAAATGCTGCTGCTGTTTCTCTTGTTTCTCTGGTGTAAATGGCATTTATAAAATCTTTAATAGCCACCTTAAACCCTCCTGGCTTGGCAGGGTCCAAAACATATAGTGCCTGCCAAATCTCCTGCTATGTACTGAATTATTTCTAGGGATTACTGGGATGAACTTTATAAATGAATGAATAGGAAGAGGGTGGGAGAGGGAAGCTGGTTGATTACAGGACACATTCCCTCCTGAGGTTAGAACGCAGTCTGATGAAGAATTATACCTCACTAGAAATGTCATCTTAGAGAGAAGGTTTTTACTGGCATGAAATCCAAAACAAAGACATAGGGAAGTACAGACTAGCTGCATTCTGTCTTCAGGAAACAAGTATGTTCACAACCTATTTTAAACTAGGAAGGATGCTGTGGGTGTATGTGGAGGGGTGTCTGGGGTGGCAGGATGAAGCAACATCAAAATGAGTCACAGGCAAGAAGATTTGAGACAGGTCCTGAAGGTGGAAGGGCATATGCAAAGGTTCAGAGTTGTGAACATATGAAACTACGTAAGTATGACTTAAACCAAGATAGGGCACAGGATGGAAAAAAAAAAAAAAAAAAGCTGAAGGAAACACTCAGGGACTTTTCTGCTAAGATAGGATTCTTGGATCCTGAAGGAATTTGGAAGCCACTAATTATCTGCCTCCAGAGCAATATGGTCAGACTGTGATTTAATCTGGTGGCTATGGGGAAAAGATTCAAGGAGACTCAAGGCCACTGACTGCAGAATTCCAGGAAAGAAATAATGAAGACCTTACCCCAGAGACTTACCCAAGATTTTGTAAAAGCAAGTAGTGAGAGGGAAACAGGTTCAAGAGCTACTTAGGAAGTAGAATCTACGGGATCTGGATTAAGAGAGGTTGAGGAAGGTGGCAGGGATGACTCCGAGGTTTCAAGGTGGATGGTGAGCCCTAGAAGACAGCAAGATCTCAACAGGAAATTGTGGTGGGAAGAAATACTCTGGACAGAGAAAGTAGTCTATGAGGAGTCTCAGAGTCTGCTGAAGGTGAGGTAACAAAAACAACACATGCAAGCAAAGCAGACTGTAATTAAGGGTAGAAAGCCACCTGGCAAAAAGATCAGGGAGCATTTTGTGCCACAAAGAACCAGGTATGAAAGGGTTAAATTTTGTTTTGTTCAAATGTGTTGTTTCTCCCACTGATCTTGGCAGAATGTGGATTTGCATATTCATCTTGTTTCCTATCTGCATCTTTCCTGAAAGGGGACTGGAACTCAGGACTGGCAAGTAATATGGCTAATTCTCCAGCACGTAGCTGACTGACACACAGGACTTCCTCTCTCTCCTCTACTATACAGACTCTCTCTCCTCTACTATACAGAGATCAGTTCATCAATAGCCACTGAACACAGATGTAAAAAATATTCTACAGGCAGTTTTTACAAAGGCATGGATCTGAGGCAGGCTTCCTATGCTGTTATGCTTGGAAGGGGGTCACTAACTAGTGATGGTGTCGAGCTGACCACACAACATCAGTCATCTCGAAGTGATTTTCTTTTTCCCTTCTTTTTCTGTGTATATAGTCAATTCCTGTCAACTAACAACTTACTTATTTGGGGGGAAAAATGCCTCCCAAAAGAATACTAACTGCTAAGGAGCTCTGGTAGCTTAGTGGTTATGAATCAGAATGCGAACCGCAAGGTCAGCAGTTAGAAACTACCAGCTGTTCCGTGGGAGAAAGATGAGGCTTTCTGCTCCCGTAAAGATTTACAGCCTCGGAAACCCTGTACAAGGTCGCTGTGAGTTGGAACCAACTCCACAGCACATAAAAACAATGCTGATAACAAGACGAGAATGTGGAAAGATGCAAGAAGTGACCTTTTTTTTTTTTTTTTTTTGTAGTGTCTTATTGTGAATTATATGATAGTTTACATGGGAGAACATTAGTTTTACGTTCATTCTATTCTATATCGTATCATTGCCATGGTTACAATCTCCTCCATGCATCATCAACCAACCAAAGGGTATACCCTGCAAGGCTCCCCCCCAGTCTTCAGCACACAGTCGCTCTCCCTCTCTGGATCTAAAGTCTCCAGCTGCTCCTTCGCTCCATGTCATCATCTCTGCCTCCATCTCAGGCATCACTGCTTCTCTGGGTAGGGTCCCGCTCTCGGCTCTTCTCCATTGATGTTCCTAGGGACCTCCGCTCCTAGACTGGAAAGTTATTCACTCCCTTCCTTGCTATAAAACGTCTACCTTTACATTTCCAACCCTCACGATCAGTCCTGATAACAATTATTCACTATTGTATCACAAGTAACCCATCGGCATTTCATTGCATCAGCTCTGCCTAGACGGATGGATACTAAGCACTGGAGATTCTGTCTTCCTCCAGGCCCCCTGGCTCTGTGTTCCCTCTTGAAAGCTTGTAAGTCAGTCACTTCTTGCCCCCCATTTTGGGTAGCCGATGTCCAAGTTGCCCATCCCTGAAGAAGTGACCACTTTAAACAAGACAACTGGAAGCTTTGATGAACTGGTGAATATGGATTAATTACAAGCAGAAATGCTAGTTTCATAATTAGGGAGTTGTAAAGTTTTCAGGCATTTTGCTTTAGAACTTGAAGCATCATCTCACAGAATTCTAAATATGCATTATTTCATTCCCTTAGGAGCATTTGCGAAGTGCTTCCTTGTTGTTCTATATTAGTCTTAATATAATAATGCTTAGGATTTGTTGTTGTTAAGGGCCATCGGATTGATTCCGACTCATAGCAACCCTGTACAGGATTTTTGAGGAGCAGCTAGTGTTTTGGACCACCAATCTTGTAGTTACGCAGTCCACTTCTTATCCTACATTGCCACATCAGGACTCCCTCTGTAATGACCAGCAGTGACAAAAATAAATAACTGTTCAAATTAGAAGTGATCTTACAGATCACCACACCTAGAATCAATATCTTTATTTTATAAATAAGACAACTGAGGCTTCAAGAGGCAAAGAGACTTACCCAAGATTATGTAATACGTGGGTATTCTTGTTGACGGTCAAGTCAGGTTTGAATCATAGAGAATGAAATGGCTTGCCCTCAAATGGCTATGCACAACAGAATGAAACAATGTCAGGTTCTGTGCCAGCCTCACAATCCTTGCTGCCATAGTTGAACCATTACAGTCAAGGTGTCAATCCATCTGTTTCATTGTCTACTTCACAAGCATGATGTCCTTCTGCAAGGAGTGCTCCCTCCTGATAATATATCCAAAGTACCAGTCTCACCAATGTTTCTAAGGAGCATTCTGGCTGTACTTATTCCAAGATAGATTCTTCTTCTGGCAGACCGTGGTATGCTCAATATCCTTTGCCAACACCATAGTTCAA